CACTGTTGTAAAACGGGACTGACATCAGGGTTAAGGGAAGACAGAGAAGGTGGGGATGAATGATGTATACCGCATTGAAACAGATGAGGGAGAGAACTGTTTAAAAGTGATATATGACAGGAGTCCAGAATGAAAGCTGCACAGTGGAGTGGGCTTGGTGGGAGGGATTGAATAACAATGAAAAAGTTTTACTTTTTAAGGAGAAGAGTGAATGGGGGGAGGGGTGGGGAGGGAGAAAAGTGCAACAATGAATGAATGGAAATCCATGTTCTCTATAAACTTTCATTAAAATTTCAATTAAAAAAACTGATGTAGGGTCAGCTATGATGAGTTGGTTACAATTTGCTAGTAGTGAGTTACATTGTATGCATGAAACTAATATTCATATTTTCAAGAGTGTTTAATTACATCTACTCTGTGATATAGATATTATCCCCACATTTTAGTTTCTAAATCTTGGTGTCCCGAAGCTCATAAGTAGCATAGCTAGAATTTTAACTTGGATCCTTAAAATATTTTATTCTTATAATTAATAATTAACTTTTGTGTATAATATTATTTCTACTTGAAACACAATACTCTTGTTGCTGCGTACTGTACTGCTGAGTTGGAATCACTCTACAGTGGGGTTTCAGTGGCCGTAGATCTCACAGGAAGAGACTGTCTTCTTTTTTTCTTCAGATAGTGGATTTAAACTCTGTGCCTAAGTCATCAGAGTTCTCCACAGTACCCTTACATGACAAATATACAAAGAATCAATTTAAATATCAGGAGTCACTTTAGCAATCAGATTGAATCAATTGTATAGTTTCACTTGTAGGATGTTAAAAATAGCTATACAAGGTAAATCAGTGATGACAGGCTGGCTATATAAACATGGGTCCATGCTGGGTTTGTTTGTTTGTTTTTTTAATCTTTAAAAAACCTTTTATTATTAATTTTAATGAAAATGTACAGAGACTTTGGATTTCCATTCATTCATTGTTGCACTTTTCTCCTCCCCCTCCCCCCGGTTACACTCCCCTCTTTGAAAAGGAAAAGAAAAATTCTCTCATTGTTTTACAATCCTCCCCCCAGGTCCACTCCACTATGCAGCCTTCACGCTTATCTTAACAACTAAAGGTTGTTGAGTCCAAATGCTGTGAAGGTTTATTATGGAATCTTAGAGAAAGACTCTACTTTGGAGAGAGAAAGAATTTGATCAGCTGATGTTGATGTTTGAAATTTTGGTTGGTTTGTTTTTCATTTGATGTAATTAAGAAATCTGAACTCAAAACCTCATTGCTGTTGAGCCTAAACTCATTCTTGAGTTTTCAAGGTTGTACATGGCAAAGGAGGAGATTGCTCATCTTTGTCCCACAGGGCAGCAGCAGCTGGATTCGAACCGAGAGAGACGAATAGCCTTTGAGATAGTAATGCAGCTATGGACCCAGTCACTTCTCTAGAGGAGAAATGAGTGGAATTAATTATGAAATCTCTCAGAGAGCATAACTTAGTATTTTGTTGTGGGTTTGTTTTTTTTTTTATTTTGGGGGGTATGTGTGATTTGAGTGAAAGTTTACAATGCATGTGGTTTTTTCATTGATTCAATTCATACACATTTGTTTCACAACAGTAATTGCAATACCCACAATGTAATTGCATGTTTTCTTCCTGGACTTCTTCCTCTCCTGCTCCTCCTGAGCTGTAGGCATTAGCCTGAAATGCTGCTCTTTGGACCTTACATGGTCTGTTATTCTGAGGGAGTGAGCACATCCCTGCTGTCATCCATAATCTTTTTTTAAAAATTTAATTTCATTTTATTAATTTTAATGAACATTTACAGAGATTTTGGATTT